TTCCATCAGCAATGTCATTAAGAAATATTAAAATATGGACCTAAAACTCATGTAGTTTTAGAAAAAAACATGGTTTTATATATGAGTAGATGAACATTTCTTTGTTCGCCTTGGGTCTTTGGATACAAACACAAAGAAATCTAATATCTTACAAATAACTATAACTCCTAATACATGAACAGGATGTTGTTTTTCTTCAAGTCAGGACCTTATCATATTGAGATTCTGTGGTTTTAATTAAGTTGCTAGTTGTTAAACTCATTTGTCACAGTTAAGGTTATTTAAAAGTACTGTGTGGCTCTGCTCTAAATGATCATTTCCATTTTTCTTTCATGCTGTATGAATTGATCAATCAGACTGAGAATTTGTTGGTTGTAAATGTTTTGTTTGAAAAAATAAATGATCAATCGAATCAAAAGTGTTGTTTGTAGATGTACAATATGGAAAAAACAAAGATGCTTTCTGGATTATTTTACTTAAAGGTTCAGTGTGTAACATTTAGGAGGATCTATTGGCAGAAGTTAAATATAATATTCATAGGTATGTTTTCATTAGTGTATGATCACCTGAAAATAGGAATCATGTTTTTATTAACTTAAAATGAGCTGTTTTTATCTACAGAATCAAACACTGGATCTCGATTGGGGCCTTTCGTGTTTTTTTCTGAGCTTTGCAGCCACCACAGTTCCTCCTGTAAACTGGGAGCAGTATTAATTTGAATGCAATCTGCAATTTAACCCCTAGATGTCACTAAATCCTACACACCGGTCCTTTTGACAGATGTAAACATTCAGTTTGTATACTTGTCAACCTGGAACAGTGTTATCTTGGTTCAGATAAAAATCCCCCTCAGGAATGCAGAGCTATTAGTGTGGCAGCACCAATCAAATCAGTCCAATTAGCGCTCAGCTCAGAAGCTGCTCTCACTCTCATACACAAAGACAGTGGGCTGCGGTATATCTGCAGGTCTTCAACAGCATTCATGAACTGTTTATGAAGAAAAAATAAACATTAAAAAGTGATTTCACTTCCATTTATGTGTCTGGGATGCAATGTCTTCACGTTGGCTGATGTATTTTCTCAGTGCAGGGCTTTCACTAATAGCTCTCTACAGTATGTTTATGTCTCAGAGAACTGATACAGAACTTGGCCGTGTTTTCAGTGAGCCAGCTGCTGTCTTGACTTAAATCGGATGTTCCTAAACTTGTTAACTGGTAAATTCAGCCGCATGATCAGCTGCAGGAGTTCATTTCTGTGCCTGGTGGTTTGAGCTTTCTAATGTAGTGGTGATGCACTGATCACACACTGTACACTGTACACCGGTTCTGGGTAGGAAACTAGTTAATATTTTGTATAAGACTTTTATATATAGTATTTTATGTTCAGTTTAACATGGGAAAATATTCTCTGTAACCATTAAGGCAAATCCATTAACAAGTTCTGGTTCAAGCTTGTCTTAAAAACAGTGCAGGCCTTTATTTAAACATGGTAGTGCTTTTCTTGCATACATCATTAGTGATCTGTCACACAATAGGTTACATTCAGTATGGCCACGGATAAAACAATCCATAACATTAAACAATTATCACTGCCTTTTCTTTTTTATAGCAGATAGAGCAAAATAACAATTTCACACAACTTATAATATCACCCTGGAAATAAAATATGACACTGAGTTCTTACGCTCTGATGCAGAAGCATGCACTGCAGATGTTTTCTGAAATAGGTGACCAGCTGGACCCCGACACCGGCAACTTCATTTCCATCCCTGTATTTCATTGATACAAGTGATGGTTTTTTTTTTCTTTTCTTTGTATGAAGTCTAAGTTTACATGGTCATTTACAGATTGACAGCTGAAGTTAAAAGTACCGAGTTGTTCAAGAACACATGGGCAGCGTTTTTTTTTTTCTCCATTCAGTCCGAACAAACTTAAGTTAAGCACAGATACACTGATTTTGGTCTGAGAACCTGGTTATATATGAAAATGTTCCTTCAAAGTGAACTGTTGTCGGCCATGAGGTTCGTGAGATTATGAATAACGATAAGAGAGAGAGAGGGGAAAGTGATACAAAATAAAATATAAAATCTGTTAAACAATAAAAATAATATTATAAAAGCATACTTCAACAAAAATCTAAGATCACACACACACACATCCCGACTCAAAAATGTCACACATGGATTAGAAATCGATTAACTCACAAACAATCAAACACATCATCCAACCATTTCTTGTGCAAAAATATTCTCCTCAAGGAATGAAACTATTAGATATGACAAAATGTGATGGCACATTGATATTTCCTTTCTCAAAGGATAAATAGTAAAATGTAGAATACAGACGAGTATCGAAGAAAATACATAAAACCAGTAGGAGATGAAATCCTACATTCGGGGCCCGAAGCCTTTTTCCTCCGAAGGTGAACTTTTAATAAGTGCAAATTGTTGCCTCGCAGCTCACAAAGGATCAAATTACATTAAAAGGTTTTTGGTCAAAAATACATCATAGAGACACTTCCACCCTGTTGATGGACAATGAAATTCGTTTTCCTTTGTCTATTGTCCAAATTATGTTGATCATGCTACTGCCGAGTAAATCTTTGATATGTTTTTAACAACTTGACAGTGTACGGCCCTCCTGTCTTAGGTTTTCACGTAGTTTCCATGGTATAACTGTGGGTAAGGAAACTTATTTCATCCAACAGCAGCGTGTTGAGGGAGCAGATGTTAAAGTCCTCTGTTGACTGTTCCTCCCCCTATTTGTTTTTATAATGCGTTTGTTTTGATGTTACATTGTTTTTGTACACACTTACATATTGACCAAGCTAGTGCTATTCAGATTGACAATAACACCCATATGGCAGCTACATATAAATTTCACATTTAATTTGCGGCTGTAAGCAGTTTATATGGATGATATTTGTGAACACTGAGATGAATAGACCAGTCTGTTGATTACAGTCAGTTATGAGAGTTATGAAAAGCTTATTTTACATGTTGACTAAACAATAATCCAGTAAAGTAGGACCGAGTACGCAGGCGGAAGTCTTAAGCTTGCTAGCTTTCTAGTTTTGTGGCACCAAAAATGAACACAAACGTCACAAAAGTCTGTGATGGATGGAAGTTTGATGAGCTTGTTGTTTTTTGGTTTGTGAGAATTTTCTTGGTTAAACAGATTATGCGTTTAAGATAACAGTTAGCATTGGCTATAAGCTAGCTCCCACTGCTACAACGGCCGATGGCAAATTAGCAACAGCTAATTCCTGTCATACGTAACCAGACCTAAAAGTGAGAAACACCATGAAATGCCCTTTATAGACGCATATCATTTGGTTTTCATTGTCAGAAAGAGTCTTTCAGCTAGCAGGCCAGAATCCGCCACCGTCCTTTTCCAGCCTAAATGACCCTTTTTTATGCTAAGTATCCTATGCATGTCTGTTGAAAACAGTCACACAACCCACTTTTGACAAACCCAAATAATAGTTTGACAAATGATGAGTGAATATAACGTCTTTGCGTCCAGAAGTGTTGACTGACAGACCAGCTTCTGCATTATTAGCCACGTTAGCTTCGTGGCTCCTGTCTGAGCAGAATGGCACGTTCCATAGAAGCACGATTGGATGAAATTTACAAGGAAAACGGGGGTAAAGGATGACAAGAGCGATGATTATCTGGTCCCTGATTCCAGTCTTAGGAAATGAAAACTATTCTGAACAAAATAGTTAACAGAAAAGGTTTGGTCTTTGCAGTTTTATATGTATTAGCCATATTAGTGCTAAACCTTTTCTTTGTGGTCTGCGCTTGCTTTCATTCTGGTCCATACATCTCACTTAAAGACGTTGGTGTCCTAAAAAGCAGTTTTGTCGTGACACAACAACTTCCCAGTTGCTGATGCCGCCACATTTCTCTTGAAATAATTCGGCGGACCAGTTTTTAGGCCCAACCTGATTCGGAGCAGTGCCTCAGACGTATCTACTTTGATGCATCTGGGGAAGCGAAATGGTGACAAAAACGCAGGAAAATGTTAGTTATTACTCAATCTTCTTCTCCAATCTTTTTTTACGATGGACGGCGCTTAATTCTGTGGCGTGCAAAAATACGTTTGCGACCCGCAGTAGTAATTCTGTGGCGTGGAATAGAAGTTACTGTGATGATGATGGTGGTAGTTGTTGTTCTGCGGGGTGGAGTAGTAGTTGTGATGGTGGTGATTGTGACTCTGGATGTTTCCGTAGGCGAAGAGGAGGGGGGCCGTGGAAGATGGCGGCTGCTGGGCAGGCGCGACGCCGGCTGTCAGAGTCCCGTTGCGTTGGATGGACCCGTACCAACTAGACGTACCCAGCTGGGGGGTGGTGGAGAGGAGACTGAGAAGGGATTGAGAGGAGGTGTTGAAGAAAAATCACTTAAAAGTCATTAACTTTAGTTCAGTATTGGACTTTATTGATAACATACTGAAAGGTTGTATTTGTGTGTGTGTGTGTGTGTGTGTGTGTGTGTGTGGGTGCGCGCCCACCTGGCCCGATCAGTCCTACTATTAATGCTTCTGGACAGGTCGTCGTCACTATCGTACCGCCGAGGGTTGTCAAAGAAATAAGCTCTGGAGCTGAAACTGTGGCTGTTGATCATCCCTCCTGGAGCCTGAGAGGTAGAGAGACGTTCAAGCTTTGTTACAGTTTACAGCTCTGAACAGATCATTGATGGCATTTGTACTTTGAGCGTCGTTTTTACCAGGTTCTGGTTGGGTTTATGGACCCGGAAGAAAACCACCACTAAGGTTGTAGGTAGCAGCTCCCAGAAGAACAGAATGATCCCAAACACGATGTAGGCTTCACCGCTGATCTCTTGCACATCGGCCTGTGACACACACAAACACACACGCTGTATGACGTATTCATTACCTGATCATTGAGCACAATACACACACAACAAGATGGAGCGTGTCTGTAGCTCACACACAGACATGAGAATGATTTTGATCTTCTCATTTAGTTCTCAGTTAGAAAATGAATAAGCATATTCCCCAAATTGTCAAACTATTCCTGTAACTCTGCTAACAATAGCCTAACCTTGAGTTATTCATTATTGAACACTAAGCTAATTTTGGTCTGGCACTCTCTGGTTTGAGCGCACAAGCTAAAGCTGCAGTTTTATTGAATACCATTACATCTATTTAATGATGCAAACATGTAATAAAATGTGTACTTCTCAATGTGACATAAGATGAGAAGGTACTACATGTAAAGTGTAAAAAGCTTTGTACAGACATGCTCAGGGAAGGGACAGAATAATGAGATGTTGGGTTGACAGCTGGTAGACAGACAGATTAAAGAATTGATGTGTAATGTCAGATTATGTCCACACAAAGACACACAAACACGATGAAACCCTTGAAAGTGGGCTCATGGCCTGAACCCTGATGTAGGTCAGGACACACACACACACAGAGGGTTATTTATAGCCAAACAAAGCCCTTTACCCCACTAAGCATTGCTTTCCCAAATCTCCTAAAATGGATTGTCCACACACACACACACACACATGCATTGGGTTTCTGGCTAAATAAAATCAATAACTGAACACACTCGGCGACAGTACCTGATCAGAGACGCTGTACCAGCCGTAGTTGAAGGGACTGGGTCTGTCCTGTGGCGACAGGGCCACCACCACCAGGTTGTAGCAGGCTCTGGATGTGTAGAGCAGAATCACCACGGCTCCGATGGCTGTCGCTTGGCACACTGATGTACCCTGGAGGAAGAGTCACCCTGCTTATTACACGCTCATGTATCACTCAGCCATTTGCCTGTAACTGAATGTCCACCACAGATTTGATCTGCGAACATGACTGAGGCCTCTCTGAGACCACAATGACAGACTACGGGGCAGGGATTGAGTTTTAAGGGACATAAATTAAAGTGTTATGGTGACAATCATGAGTCACCGTTACTGCCAGCAGTGCTGGGTATCGTATATTATCTGTACCAGTGTAAACAGGCGGATTTCCAAGCACTGTCATTATGAGATGCAGGAGAGAAAACCAACCACAATGTATTTTTGTGCCATAAACTGTACAAACTACAAAAGTAATGAGTGAGAACTGCTCAATATCCACCAAGAAGGAACCCCCACTATGAGCTCAGAGGTGGTGGATAGTTTTGGAAGGAAACCGATGAGAAATAACACCTTTTTTAAAGTAAAACAACTCACATTGTAACTGTGTATTTATGGCTGTTGTATCTGGCTTTATGATCAACACTTTAGCAGTTTAACAACAACAACTTAGAGTTGTGCGACTTTGTGAGAGCAGACTAGACACAGCTAGTGTTCTGTACATTGATATTAAATCACAGAAAATGTACGCTAATGTTACTAATATCCAAAATGAGCTGTTGTGCAGAAGGAAAACAGCAGGAATTATTAGCTAACATTACTTTTATTATAATGCTTTTTTTGTGTGTGAGGAGGGCTTCTGTGCTTTTTAACCCGTGTTATTATTATTATATTATTATATTTTGGGATCTAAATTATTTTTTTTTATTTCTAGCTAAATACTGTATGTCCATGCTATCATGACATTGTCAACCTGTGTACTACCTGCAATACCTCAGTTTCAGGAGTCACCGAAATGTACAACATTTTCATAGTTTATCTAACTTTGCTGAATACTAGACATGTTTTTGACACATGCATGGTTTTATGTGTACTTTGGATTCAAGGTAAACGTTGGCAGAGGACATCTTGACGATCTTGAAGATGCAGACAGCCAGAGAGACAGCACACAGGACAAACAGAGTGTCGTTGATCAAGACCCGGGCCAGGACTGCATGTCTGATACCCCCATCACTGCAGACACAGAGGTTATTAACTTCAGACAATCAAGTACACTCTGTGTGGCTAAATGTGGCATTATTATGCAAAGATAAAATGAACCATTGATGGTATTTTTTTTGTTTACCTCGGTGATTCAGAGCGCTCCAGAGCTCCTTGCACCAACAATGCACATGTTAAATTCACCACCAGGAAAAATATGCTGAGGCACAGGAAGAACAAACGCAGAGGAACCCTGGAGAGAGAGAGAGAGAGAGAGAGAGAGAGAGACAGACAGACAGTAAGAAGATGCCCCCCCCTTAAAAAAAAGTGACTTTATTCATAAACAACAACTAATTAAAATTCTGGATGTTTATGCTGCAGACCAACTGTGTGTGAGAGAAGAAAGAGTAGAAAGAGGAAGGAGGATGACTCTTAAAACATTTTTTAAAAATAATTTCTGAGAAAAATTCAAGGCAAAAAGCAAGAAAACTGGAAAAGGAAGCTCTCAGGCGTCGATCATTGATTGATTGAGACAACACTGACCTCTAGTGTCTGAGGAGAAACACTGCAACTCAGCTGACTGATCGGTGTGTTACTGCAGCTCATTTCTGCCATGCCAATGAAAAAGGAACAAAAGAAAAGTCAGACATGATAAACAAAAATACTCAATATTCTTAGTAAAAATTATACTTTTATTTTCTAAAGTTTGATATAGTAACAACAACTTCCACTACTGTGCCCAACTTTCTACATAATGACTATACTTTAATAACTTTGTTTCAGTAAGTTACTTCACTTAATTGACTCACTCTGGTCCACAATGGAAGTTCAGCTAGTTGTAGTTGTGCACTTATCTCTGAATAACAATTTTAATTGGTTTTTATTCTTCTTTTAGTTACTGTTTCTCTTTTATTTCTAACAGGTGGATCAATAAATGCATCACTGCAAACAGCAGTACACTGGCAAACCTGTTTCTGATACACTGTGATGGTAATTTACATACACACACTCACAAAAGGGAAATGTACAGTGGAGGCAGAAGATCAAACCATTATTTAAATATTTACAAGCTCAAACAAACTATTTACATATAAGATATAGAAACTCCCTAATCCAGAGAGATAGAGTGAGAGAGACGCTTAAATGTGCCCCACCCACCACACCCACTGCCTGTCTGCCACAAGAGGAGAGGGAGAGACCTAACTATTAAAATCTATATTCCATGACACATAAACATAATAATTTAATTTGTAATAATACATTTCTCCACTGTCCTAAATTGCCGCAGACACAGAATCACTGTGTCTTAAGTGTTATTTTTACTGTATTACTATTGACATCCTTCCCTTCAAGTGCTGCTTAGCTATCTCATAATTTTGATGTAGTTATTATCTAATAATTCTGAATTAGTAATTCAATATGTCTACTAAGTCAAAGTTATGACATTTTGACCCCCAAAATTAAGTAAATCAAGATTTTCAATGATACATGTAATTTTGGCTTCGGCCTACCATTTTATTAATCTCATTAATCTTATTAATCTATATATATATTATATATTTAACTGTACATTACAGCAGCATCGAGACAAGCACAGTCCAGATGGGATGTAACGTCACATCCGTTTTTTCTTTCTTGTTGATTTCAAAACAAAATACGTGCTTAACAACATGTCAACTTTTTCACGAATAAAAAGGCCTAATACGTGCGTAATTCAAATGAAAGCTTAAAAAGTAACAGAACATGACATATATAAATTTTTAACGCTTTGTGTTCTCTCAGTCTCCCACATCATTTCTTGTTAAAATTACACGCCGTATTTTACGCTTGAACTTCCGGTGTAGTTGCGGCTCGGAGAGGAGACACAGGAAACAATCCGCTATCAGTGGTTAGCAAACAGAGGATCGCCCTCCGGCTGCACAGAACTGAAAAAACATGGTGTCGCCGCGGTTGCCTGTTTTTCTTCTAAAACGGTGGGAGCTGTGTTGTGGAAACGCTGCAGAAAGAAAACTAGTATATGTGACTGTGGTGAGTAGTAACGTTTAATAATAATACCTGTACAGCCGCTTGGGAGCTGTGTTGAGCTCTGCGACGATTCGCCTCGTTTGTCTTCGGTGTAGTTCGACGCTCACGGAACTGCATTCAAAATGTAGGCGATTTTGCGTTATCGTTGCCTGTCTGTAAACATGTTGTTGTATCTGAACGCAAATTAAGTCTGTCCGCTTCATTTGGGTGTTGTAGTGAATTCGGCTAATAATCCACCCAGCAACGTGATTTTTTAAGAAGTGCATTTTCTGTAATGGTTCACACCGCTTGTGCAACATTGCATTAGAAAGCTGATACTTCAACCCGTTGTAAAAGTGGACATTTTATTTAAATGATTGTAACATTCAACATTTAAAAAAATGTATATATGGTATGAATGGTTTTGAATTCAGAGCTAAACGCGCAGAGACAGCTCTTCATTAACAAACTGGCACATTTGAGGTTTTTGAACTCTCATGTTAATGTTGTTCCTGGCAAACGAGGAGTCAAAACCTGACCTGTCTGACCTGTCAGCCTGAACGAATGATTTGGAATGAGCTACAGCAATAGTCAACATTGTGTTTTCATTGTCAGGAACTGATCAGGTGACTAGTCAGCTCTACCAACACCAAACAACACTTGGGAAACATTGATGTGTCCTAGTAAATGCTGATGTTCTTTGGGTGATATCTAATCTGAGGTATTTCTGCTCAGATAATGATTTTAGGTCATGTAGAAACCCTCCAATGTCTCTGTGTGGATGTTTCCCTGATTCCAAATTGCCAAAGTATTCACAGGTACAGCTGCCCCGGACCTGTTCAGCAGCTCACCGGGAATGCCTGCTTGCCCCAGGGAAGAAACGCAGTGTAGTCAAGGATACACAAGTTATTGTCTTAACAGAGAAGCAGTAAGCTGCACAAAGACGATCAATGCAAGAGGACGCAAACAAGCAAAATTGAAACTGTTGTAAGAACGTCTTGTCCCATGCTTAAACAGGGCTGTTTATTTACATGAAATGTAAATTTAAAGAATACAATGTCAACTTGTGTCATGGCTTTCCCAAGGCTTTGTTTGCTGTAAGAATATACAGATTGAACTATGATATTTGTGTAACTTCTTATTCTTTTTGTAAATCTCATTCTAGATATTTAGTGAGAGGATTTGAAATGGTCGTTTGTGGCTTTGTGGATGGTTTAAATGTTGTCTAATCCTCACAGAGTCATTAAACATCATCCTTACGGAGCAAAAGCCATCTTTTAAAGCATCACTCCCACTTTAATTGCACACATTAGTGTATTTTCATGTTGTCCTTTAATTGCACTTTACTAACTGTTAATAAAGGCCAGTGAATTTCATATGTCCAGTAACTTCCTATGCACAGTGCAGAGACACATGTAGCATGGTAATAGACACTGAAGCTGTGAACACAAACATTGTGACTGCTCATGGGTAAAAAAACAATACTTTTTAAAAGCATCCTGCACATTTTGAATATAAAGAATCACAAAACACATTAATTAACATATATTCTATATAGATTTAGTGTTTCCCACCCTTTAACCCTCTTCATGGAATCTGTCATGGTTGTGAAAATTGAAATAGCATCGGACACACTCGTGTTTTCCCGTCTTAAAGCCATGACATCGATCATCTTGCATGTAAAGTACGACACTGAGAGCTCGGTCAGGTCAAGACTGTCATGTGAGAGTTTCGTTGATTGTCGTTCCAACAGGGAGGGAGCTTAATGTTAACGTGTTCTTATTCTCGCACTCTTTCGTGGAAACGGTGCTAGATGGCCATTAATGGATCGTGGGGCAGATAAGATTAGGAGTTTTAAAGGGATAATCCGCCCTTTCAAATGGGGTTTACACACTTTTTCAGCTATTTTGAGCAGCTCAGTCATGCATGCTCTTCACACCAGAGAACGGAAACCCACATTTCTTTGTAGTGTGCTCGAAGATTGAAACTTGAAACTGTTCTACTTGAATAGCCGGCACAGGAACAAGAGCTAATTGACTGGATGCAGATGTTAATTTAAACCTGCCACATTAGTAGTTCTCCTCTCTAAAGGAGCAGTTTCAAATATAAGTTATTACTTCCTGAACATGTCCCTGTAGTTAGTTGTTTATCCTGCACAATATGATTTATGTTTCCTAATACTCACTTATTTAATGGCTTTGACACACTTTATGTTAGTTCTTCCTGTTTCTGGTTTCTGGATGTGCTTATACTGTGGTTATTACTCATTTTAAGGCCTCTGGTGCTTTCAGTTGACACGTTTTTACTGACATTACAGAGTCTGACAAACAGGATCATTACTATCAGCTGACTGTTTTTTATAACAGCCAGCAGTGTGGACACAGATAAAAAGAGGACGAAGGTTTTGGCTTGCTTCTGTTTTAGAGGAGATAAGTGTGTTTCAGAATAATACAGATATCTAAACTCTTCTCACTCGAGCAGTGGGAAACAGGACTTCAATCTAAGTAGGCTTATAAAGTCAAACACAAGTCACATGATGGAAGAGTAAAAGCTGCTGACAGTCTGTTAATCAGTTCGATCAAGTCAAGTTTGCTACAGTCACATTTTTCCATCATATACGCTTTTAACTTCAGCATATTTTACTTTCTGAAATCTCAATGTTAAGCCTCTTGCATGTTTATGTGTCACATGTTTAGTTGAGTGTTCATCAGGTTTAAAATATCTTTCAATGTAAAATTGTATAGTGAGTGATTCTGCTGCTCATTTTATCACAGAATTACAGTATGTTCCTTCTTTAGTGTCTGTGCAGCAGTGCTGGGAGAAGAGAAACTGTCTGGGTTAATAGAAAATACTGAAAGTGACTGTGTGTGACATTTTCTTTTGCCATAGTGGACGTTTTTCTTTTCTCCCAGTTAAGAGGAAATAGTGTGTTGTTAGTTTGGGTGTTACCTGACGTCTCTTCTCTCTCCCCTCCAGTTGTTTCGGCATGGTGACAGGTCCCCAGTCAAAGCCTATCCTACCGATCCGTACCAAGAGAGCGCCTGGCCACAAGGTTTTGGACAGCTATCACAGGTATAATGAACTTTTTTTTTTTTTAATTGGAGTAATCACAGTGCGTCAGAATTTATGTATCCATTTACTGTTAATATCAAAATAGGTAGAATAGCATTCTAACCTATGAAGACTCATTCATTCCCATTATATTTATAACTGAAGACCTGTATACATTATGAACTCTATATGAATTTCAAAATACTCAGCATTTAACTGTATGTAGGCTTATTATAATGATATGCACAAAGTTACATACAGCATTAAAGGCTATGGAGGCCCAATTAGCCCTATTTTAATGTAACACAGAAATATAAGGACCTGATGTCATGGGAGATATGAAATAAAGAGATTGGACTTAAACCGATTATTTGTACTTATTGATTAAACATTTATAAAGGGATCAGTACAACACAGACTGATGTTTGCCTGTGGTCCAAACACATGAACAAATACTTCTGAAAGTGGAGGAAAAAAACCTCTCCTTGGGTGGGACATCCTCTCAGGAAGCCGATGACGGATGAATAGAAGCATGCACATTGGAGCACGTCCAGTGAAACAAACACAACACAAATGTGTCAGCACAACTCCTCCTTTTGGTCATTTCTTGACAAATATGAGAAGAATCAAACATTTAGACCTGCCTTGTAGGTCAGAAATGTCCACTGTTGAGGTAAAGGGTAAAATCAGGCCAATTAGTATCTGTGTGCACAGCAATCACAATATTCTCTAGTTTATCACATCTAACCTGCTGTTTTGATGTTATTGACCCACTTTAAACGTGTACCTGTAGAAATGTGACATCCAGTGATGCAGCAGGAGTATGATGTCGATGTCTGTGTGTGTTTTCAGGTGGGGATGAAGCAGCACTTTGAGCTGGGACAATTTCTGAGGAGTCGATACAAAGGATTCCTCAACGAATCCTATGACAGACACGAGGTAGATGGACTCTCCTCTTCGCTGTCAGATCACATGACGCCTCAGTTGAACGCTCGCAGACAGACGATGATTCATATTACTATTTAGGAGAAAGGGCGCCTTGCCATGTTGGTGTTATACAGGGTTCCCACTGGTGCTGGAATTACTGGAATATGATGGAAGTCTGTAGTCTGCGGTGGGAACGCAGACAGCAGTGCTAGGCAACAAGGCAAATGACAGGCTGAGGGAACATTTTAGTTCCTTTAAAAGT